TATTATCTAAATGTCATTGTATGCAAATGTAATTAAATTTCTAATGTCACAAAAATATAGTAACTTCTCTATTGTACTGTTCTTACGTAATATCGTTGATCTATATTCTATAATAATAAAATATATTGACATATCTTAATTATTTTTAACAAAAAGCAATATATATTAGGTGTTGGAATTAATTCGTAGCGTTTTACAAGTGATGGGAAGTACTTTCATTAATGTATTTTTTAATGCTCATGTGAAATAAATAACATTCTTTCATTAAAAACGCTACGAATTAATTCCAACACCTAATATATTGATACATTGCAGTTCATTTTTTGCATTAAATCATCTTGGATAATGATATATTTTATTAACAATAAAATAATAAAGATAAATTTTTTAAAAATAAATCGGACAGATTTTATTAACAAGTAATTACATATTTAATAAGAGCGAGTAAGAATATAAAATTCTGCGAAATAATTCGTGCGCTAAAAATTGTATTTGTCTCTTCTTTACACAATTAATAAAAACGTTTGCACGAATTATTGTGCAGAATTTTGTATCCTACAATATCCGTGTTCTTGTTAAATATTTTTATTATATATATTTTTATTATATATAAATATACGTATATTTTTCATAAATAAATTTAAAAAAATTTTTAATAAACGCGTATATACTTGGCATCTTCTTACCTTCTTTTAAAGTAATTTTTTCGAGGATATTGATTCAAGTACTTGCGTGAGTGAACTGATCACCAATAGCTTAACTGTACACTGCGAATTTCAAGCACCTTTTTCAACGATCTCGTAATTACAATGTAATGGTAGTATCTTTATGGTAAGTTGTTTCGGAATATTACTACAAATCAGATATGCACGCGGCAGTAATTTTGTCGAAATTACAAATTTCGCCGGCGTGGCACAAAGTATCCAGAAAAGATATAATGACCTTTTGCCGCACGTTTTAACAATTTTGGGTGATTTTACGCGTTGCGTAAGATCGTACTTATATTATACGAGAATAATGATATTACAATATACGGTATTACAATACAATATAATGCATCACGCTACTCTAACTGTAAGCTGAGTCATAACTGTCGAATTTATATACGATTATATAATTTCTGGAAATTATGTTTTTTTTAAATTTTCCAATAGCTTGTTTTTAAGACTCTTAATTATGTTCCTGTATTAATTTTGTTCCTATTATTGGTTCTATATATTAAGATTTTTGCTGCGGAAATAATATTATGTTCTTTCTTTTTCGAGAGATAAAGGTCGAAAATTCGGTAAGATTATAGTAATTCAGACGCATCATCATGTTAATCAGCTGTTTCACAAACACTGTCGGATTCCGGCATATGCGTGGGCCATCTTTCCATTTATCACGATCACCTACTTCAGCCTACTTATGCGTATTGCTTCGTTAATGACTTCACGCGTACGAATGCCAGAGCAAGAAAGTTCAGTCTTGTTGAATCTCTTACATCGTTTTAAGATCGTCTTGGTTGGACAAAAAAACATAAATTTTACACGAAGCTGATTTTTCCTATCAATTTAATAAAAATATAAAAGCAGCATAAGTAATGAAAAAGTAAAAAAATATAAGTGGAATAGATGGGAGAAATTTTTTTCTCTTGTAAATGTATTAGATCTACTAAATTTAAGCATTTAGATTTGATTTTCTGTGAATTGCATACAGTTGAATTCGTTTTATAAATTTGACTTTTTGTTCAATAAAAGTGAACGTGATTACGCGGCAATGTTATTCGTCAGTACGCGGCGATCGGATGCTTAATTAATCTCGGCATAATTGTTACTAATTATGGATCGGCATTGAACCGAGTGCGGCATCGGCAGGTAGAAGTGCGGATAGATAGCCACGTAACTCATCTGAGTGAAGGCTCGCGGATGCATGATTTGCTCTGTAATCGGGGATAAACGGCATTACGCAATGCTCCACGCGATGCGGAAGGCTCGTCGCATGTGCTACACGCGCATTGTAGACATGTGTGGGGTATGGGTTATTCTTCTGTCGGGTCTCTTTTCTTCAGACCGTGGCTGAGCTATCAGATCTGCAGTTCGTGTATGTCACTTCTCAAGAAGCAAGATTCCTTACGTGTGAAGTAAGTCAGGGTGGGGATCGGTGTCTGAATGCTTTGCATAAAGATGTCTGAAACAGTAGTTCAGCTCGATGTCTATTTTCGGGTCCACTAGACTTACATTCATTCCTGAAGGTACGCTTGAAGCACTTCTCAAGGACTGCCAAGGAATTAGTTGATATCATAACAATCTTTTCTTATCAAGGGTTTTAAAGTATGATAGTAATTTTTTAAATAATGAAATTCTCTCTAAAAGATAATCTCAAAGATAATAAAAAATGAGGAAATATAAATCTGCATATACTAAAGAGTAATAAAAATAAAAATAAAAAGCTATTAAATTATGAATTATGTTACTATTATTGAAAAATCAATTGTTTAGAAATACATATGAGATTAATGCAACTATTTAATGATTTATTTATGTACTGTTAATTTATAGTCGACATTAAATGATTTATAGGTTCTTTATTTATAAATATTCAGTAATAATGTAATAAATGTTATAATAAATATTCAGTATTATTTTGTTATAATGTTATAATAAATGTTCAGTATTATTTTAAATAACATAAATTATGTGAAAATAGACATTTATACCATATATACGGTGCAATGAATTTTAGTAAATCATATTACAATATTGCAAGATTTGTATTTTTTTATTTTATAAAGAAAAAAAAATTCAGAAGCATATACGAAGTTAATAGACCGTTTCCTTCATTACGTGCAACTCTCGACATACGAGTCAATTAGAAGGGGAGAGATTCTCTTGCAGAGAAATATATTATTGGAGCAATCGCTAGCATTAAAGATGAAATCAAACAGGAATCCCCTAACGAAGCATTTCTTAATCGATCTGAGGATTCATGTGAGTCGCACTCACTTGGGCAAAAATGTACCCGGTGACTTTCTCCAGAGAGGACCAATAAATACGGTCGGAATATCTCCAGCTCGTTCGTTCGAGGATGAACTCGGAAATCTTACGAACCTTTTTCGCGCGCACGCGATTGTCCTATCTCGCCTCTATTCGATTCGCCTCAAATTTGTAACTGCCTGGTTCTACAGGCACCCGCGTGCGTCTCAAATTTGTAACAGCCTGGATAAGGACATCCGTATGCGATTACCTTCCCCTTAACTTTCGTTATACTATAAGTATTTCCTTATATTTGAAAAGCATCGTCACGTTTTCAGGATATGATGAATTGGCAGTGCTGAAAAATATTTATTTTCGTAGAGAATAGACATTTTTAAGAAATAATTATAATTCATATTAAACAACGAGAATAAATCAATTAAGAGAAATAATCCTATTTTCAGTTGAAGCAGTATTAAAATTTCTGGTGTGAATTTATATCTAAATTTGTGAATCGCGCACTAAAATCTATTTTAGTCTTGAAATTGTAAATACAACTGGAATAGCAATATCACATATTAAAGCAATTTAATAATTTTTTATCATAAGCATCAATTTAATAATTTTGCTATTATAAGCATATTTAAAAAAATTTTAAAGAATCGTTAGCAGATGACTAAATTTCAGATTTATTGCATCCATTTTTTGTTATTTTACTCGTATTAAAAATATGATATTAATATAGAATTCAATTTTTATTTTAATATTTATTATATAGTTGTTTAATTTTATTTTGTATATATACACACACACACACATATATATATACATATATATTATAAATTTTTTATTTAGATATATTTATTTAGATAATTTTAATTTAGAAAATTAAGATATAATATATATGTCATATTACATATGCCTCATATGTATACGCATATTATTTGCAACAATAAGAAAGCATTTATAACGATAGTTTAAAAATTATGTTATTGCGATTAATATGAATATCTAATTAACGATCCTTCATTTAAACTTCATTTAAAGTGATCTTATATGCAGATTAAATTAACCGGTTTTGTGAAATTATCTTATATTTCTACTATGCTATTAACACCATCATATAGAATGATAATGGCACAGATATTTTTATACTTGTGATAATGTATGTTTGCGATTTAATGAAATTTGCAGTGTGCAATTTAGGTATTACACATTAGAGAAAGTTTATCTCCACGGACGGGCAGTAAACTTCCTGATGACATAATGCAAAACAGCAGCATTTTCTGACGATGTACTTACAAGTACATCGCCCCACATGCTGAACTTGACATAATAAGAAAAAAAGCATATGTTTTTCGTTTTTTGCAAATAATTCACCATTATGTGTAAAAAAAATATTCTTTTACCAAGAGAGAGCTATATAAACCACAGAAATTTAAAATACTTAGTTAACGCACAAAAAGTTTATTAATAATAAAATACCTTATATTTTATTTTATGTCTTTAGAAAGTATAATATTCTCTAAAATGTAATAAAGGAATATTGTATGGACTTCTTTTACGAATATAATTTGCACGAGAGAGGAATGCAGCTAACATAAGCCTCTGAGAGAGTAACTGTTCACAGGAAAGAGAGTTTTATCTCATCTCTTCTATATGAGAAACTTAAGACAAATATGGGGCGCTCGTCTCTATCTTCTTTAAGATTACTTACGAGATGTGAAATAAACACAGGGCGAATACAGTAGCAGGGTTAAATAATCAGGATGTTCTTTCACATGTATAATTGTAACAGAAGTGTTATATTTGTCACACATTAGTCTTGATGTCGCAACGTTTTGATCACATATAGATATATGTGCTTGTGTTGTTCTTATGATTTTTTACGTCGTAAGAAAATAATGAAATTGTGAAAGGTATGTACGATTGACAATAATAAAATAAAAAAAAACACACGGAAAATTAATTATAAAGTGTGATTTTTCTTCATGGTAAGCTATTAAGGTTTGGTGGTATGATACAAATAAGAAATTTTTATGAAAAAATGTCTTTATTGGAAAAAAGACTGCGCTCACAAGCTGGATCGATATATCCTATATAATATTTTTTATGCATTCTAATGGAAAGCGGGACCATACGTGGGTGACGGATAATTATTTCTTCCACCGATGTTATTATAACTGCTATCTATGGCATTAGAACCAAACTGGTAGTTGTTATCGTAGTGTCCGCCGCCAGATGGATAGTTGTAACTGCCTTGATTACCTGTAGATATAAAACATCAAAAGATAATGTAATACATACGCGGGATTTCTAATAATAATAAAAATTATACAAGATATATGTGTGTGCGTGTTTAAAAAAAGAATGGAATATTTAATATATATAGGGCTGCCACAAAATTGGAAATGAGGGAAATCAGGAAAATGGCCAGGGAAAACTCAGGGAATTTTGCAAAATTTTTTGGAAAATGAAAATTCTTGCTTTTAAAAAAGTTTAATATGCATACATCACATCTACAGGTTTGGAATACCACCAACTTAACAATTAAATGCATCAGCAACATTAATAGTAATTCACATTGTTATCTCAACAAATAATTTTCAAATCAAGATGAAAATACAAAAAATTTCAAAATACTATTGAAAGCATCAAGGAAAATCATGAAATTTTGTCTGGAAATTAGGAAAAGTTGTAGAATTTTAAGATAAGGAATTTGACAACTCTAATATATTCCAATGATTTATTCTACTTTTACGAGTATCATCTAAAAAATTTGCTTTTCTATAATCCATTCTCAATATTTTTATTTATGATGCACAACAATTAATTCGTACGAAAAAACACACATTCTACACAAAAATTGCAAACAATCTAAATTATCAAAATTATAAGTCGCTTAATTCTATCTCTGATAAAATTAATTTCTTGATTTATATTAATTATATCTATTGCATTCAGTTTTCCACGTGGTAAATATTATTTGTCCTCTGAAGAGCGCTGAACAATGTTTTTAAATACATACATAAGTCAAGTATGATGTACCGCTTGAAAGAGCTGCTTGAAAGAGTTAGGAATAAAATGTTAAATGTTCTACGCTACACACCTCCGGTATATCCACCGCCTCCACCGGCGATAAAACCTTGACCAGCATTGTATCCGGCATTCTGCGTGTTGTACTGATCTGGATAAGTCGGGGTGCCTTCGTACCTGACATCAGCGTGAAAACCGGTCCTCCAGTCGGCGGTGTAAGTGACAATTTGCGTCCTACCGTCCGGAAGCTGCACTCTGTACTCGCCACGAACAGTCTCGCCGTCACTCGTCTCTTGCCTACCGAAATCATTTCCGGTAGCCTGGTCCTTCACGGAATAGCCGAACTCGTAGGCTTTGGGCTGAAGTAAAATCAGATACAAATATTCGCGAATTCATTTCGCTCCTTTATTTTTTTGTAGATGACGTAAAAGATATAGAGAAAGGTAGAGGGATAAAATAAAAGAGGCAACATGTAAAAGTACCGAGATAAATGAGGAAAGATGAGGCATGAAAAAAATAACTGGAATGGATACACATTTATTAATGCAGCAATAACTTATAACGCAACTTCTAGTCAGGACGACAAGCTTTCCTTCCTTCGTCCCAGCAAAGTAGAGCGGACGACGGTGCTGAAGAGAAGCCGCCACGATTTAATCTGGCTCATAGCACACACAACCATCATCGCTACTATCACCAGCAGCGATTCGCTCGCCGACGGGCAGATTCGCGCGAGATGCGAACGCGCATCTCGCGAGCGTTCAGATCCCCGATTAGCTAACCAGCAATAACGATTTACCGTGAATTATGCCCGCGGTCGCGGTTCACCCTATTAATATTGTTACATCATTCCCGTTTGCGCCATACTCTCGCTCTCGGATTCGAATTTGTAGCATCTCGAGACACTTGAACGCGATGCGTTGATCTTCGATTAACGTAATCGCGCCGTGTTCAAACAATGTGCGATTACGGGTAGTAAGCTGAGAGCAGAATATATAAAGCATCTTTCGATCATAGATTTTTAACCTAATTGATTGCGAGATGTATTGTGCAAGCGATGATTTGTTCATTCGAAAGAGATATGATCCTTTTTTTTTCAAGATGTGAGAACAAGCAAGGAATTTAATTTTTTAACTACATTTTATTGTAATAACATAAGGACGTATAAGTATGTTTAATTTACAAATATTTTAATAAATATAATTAATTAAATTAAAAAATGAAAAAAAATGAACGTGTAAAAAATTAAAATGAGATAAAAATTAAAAAATTCAATTTTTAATCATTAAATGATATTTTAAAACAAATGAGTTCTTAACTCTAATCAGTATGTATTCACGGGTCAGTAGATCAGAACATTCTCTTCAACTTTGTTGTGAAAAGTTGTTCATGACAAATATTTTTCATGATCTTATATAATCTTATTCCTTGGATTTTGATTTTCAAAATGAAAAAAATTTAATTACATTAATTTTAAGCAAAGATACATTCAAATTAGACTGGACCTGCGAATAAATTAAGATTAATTATCTGCTGGTATTTTTTAATGTTGAATATTACACGTATCACGCAATTATCGTTTTATATTAACTTTTAATTACTATGATTTAATTTATAAATATTTCAATTACCAAACAATTTTCTCTTTCAATGATGATTAATTAAATAATTTATTGAAACGCTAATTAATACTACTGAAAGTCTCGTAATAAATGTCTTGTTGTGAGAAATGATGTAGTTTTAATATCCATTTGAGAGGTGTGTAGATATCTTATGATGATATCAGCTGCAAATCGTGAGAGATTATAAAAGATAAAAGAAACATCTCTTTCGATCATAATACATTATTAAGTACCTCAAGATTCATCATCCTACACACCGGCTACAAAAAGAATCATAAGGTCATTCAGAAAATAGAGTTAGTTCAAGCTCAGAGCGCACTGAAAAAAACTCATCCTCCGGATGAGATTTATGAAATGAGGTCAGACCTTTCTTTATTCGAAGAGTTCAATGTTACTTCTAAGACATGACCGAATCTAGATCTAAAATGATCAACTTTGACCTCGGGAGTGCCTCACGTTTTCGCAAGAGTCGGTGATACATACATTAGGGGCAAGGATCTAGATTTAGAAAGCAATATTCTGAATCTGCATTCTCTGAAGCACAAAAGAGCGTCTGATTGGTGACGTAATATACTTTGTCCTTAATGTTTCGGATTATACAATCCTCAAAATCATCGATGAAATTTTGATTCATCATGAGTAGTCTTAATTTCATAAATTGAAATCGAAACTTCGAAAATTACCAATGATGTTTTACAAAAATAAAAATATTTTTCTGTCGCTGATTGATACCAATTATTTTGCATTATTTTATAAATGATTTATCAATAAAAAAATGTTCTGCTTAATTACTTAATGAGCGTCTGGGTTAATTACGATCACGCAATTTGAAGCCTGATTTCGTAAAACGTGTTGCATCAGCTATTGAAGTAATCATCGAATGAAGATCAAAGATGATAGGAGGCCGGGATTCGATCCCACGTTATGTCAGATTGTATTGCATAAATTTTTTAATCGGACAATTGCAATATTTCGTCTCTGTAAACATTCTAAATCACTTCTTTTACATTTTACCGATACATCTGTACTAGCATTTACATTGTCAAATTAAAACTGCCAAATTAAACTTTGTAATATTAATCATTCAATTTACAATCACTTTAATTGCTTTTAATAATTAAAAATATTTTATATTGAACATTTTAAGAAACTACTTACTTTTATATCGGATATTAAAAAAATTATTCTAAATTTAAGTATAAGGTTGTAATTATTGTCAAGAAAATATCGATTCTTATTTCGAGAGAAGCTAGTATAAAATAAAAAAAAACAGCACAGATAAAGTTATGATGAAGGCATTGGGACATAGGAGACATTATCTTCAATCGTGCAATTTCATTAAAAGTTGCTTAGGCACAGGTAAGTATTATAAATACCTCGTTGTCCGTGTAATCTTGATTATCGTGTCCTCCACCGTAATGGCTCCCAAATCCATTCCCACCACCTTGTGCCCCATGATGACTTCCACCTGCGTAATTTCCTGGAACGCCGTACTGGTTGCTGAGGGGTGGTTCACAAAGCACAATGCTGATGCTCGCCATCAAGGCGAACAGAACCTGCACAAGAATATTTATTAAATTATTGAAAACGCATAAACATAAATGATATCAATATAAAAATATACTTTATAGAAATATAAATATTAACATTATATAATAAAAAAAACCTGTTCGAAAAATAATTCTATTTGAAGAACTTAATATTCTGCTTAGAATAAATATAAATATTTAATTTCAAAATAAAGAAACACAAATATTCGTTAATTATTTCTGTTTAACATTATTAGACGCAAAGGTAATGAAGCCTGTTACTTCTACAACTAGTTTCTTTCTGAAATGAAAGCAATGAATTTCCAAAGAACAAATTTTTTTAAAAATCTTAAATTTCTGAAGTTTTTATGTATTAGTTTTTACGAAATTTTTTATATGTTGAGTTCATCATTCTTAATATTAACTAATGTAAATAATTTGAATTAAATTAATCACCGGAAAGGAAGAAATTAACTTTTAGGCATATGTTTCAAAGTTAATATTTGACTACGTAGACTAATACGTATAATTCCCATGTACTAAAATACATAACAAAATAATACAACGGTTTAAATTAAAAGGTTTACTTTCAGCGAAACGCTAATTAATTCCTAAAATATTTCCAATGACTTCCCAGGGATGCTTTCCATGCGTCAGATGAGAACGTCAGATGATCAACAACGTGCAAGTTGCGTAGGCGGGAAATTAGACTCATGTGCCTCTATCTTTTCTTCTCTCATTTCTACCATATCGTGAGAAGGTGCACGATATTACATCACAGGCACTTTAAAAACTGACGCAAGACTAAACATAACGGTAAAGGAATCAGAGAGCTCTTAGGCACGTAATCCATGACTTTTCCGCGGGAAAACGTCTTTCATACGCACGATTTTTTAGATAATTAAGTAGCTACTTTAGTACGCTAATGTCTGAGTATAAATGAAGATAGAATCTTGCGTGGGCACAAATTAGTTTCGCGTAATGTTGCAACGGTTGATTAAGCTGACACTTAAAGAAGTAATTATTCAATTTATGCATATTGTACATATAAATATATAGGTAGTATGTATTTTTATTTATAGACATTTTTAATGTATTTAGAATATATTATATATTTTTGTACACACACAATGCATATATATATATATAATATTAAGAGTTGTATAAATTAATAAAATCTGATATATACTTATATATGAATTTGATACATAAAATATAAACTAATTTTGGGAATAATAATAAATTCTACAAATCCCAATATCCCCTAAAAATAGAATTCTCTAATAAAAGCAATGTGAATTAATAGCTTTTACCCCATATATAACACCGCTTGAATTAATAGCTTTTACCCTATATCAGTTAATTAACTTAATTTCTTTAGTAAATAAAAAAGTGCGTAATAGTTGTGTAATAATTATAAGTGTTAACATAAATATAAGTTATTAATCATGACACATCTTAATCTACCTTATGTACATGCAGAGTGTATATATGAATATGCAAATTAAAGTATTGTCCTAATAATAACAGTGTTAATATCGCTATTTACATTTATTGAAAGGTATGGCATATTAGAAATATCCAACATGCATAATTTTTCTTTTATTTCATAGTATTATTATCGTTTTAGTTCTTTACTAATCTAGTTATTGTTTTTATGTACCGATTGTTTTTTTTCTTATCAATTTTGATTGATTTTTTTGTATCACAATTTTCGTTTTACAATATTACAAAGTTCAAATTTATAATAATTTTGTAATATTATAAAACAGCTAAAAATAAAAAATCTTTTTACTGAAATAATATCTTTAAACGTGTAATTAAAATTGATGAATAAAATATAAATAACATATATAATATAAAATTTTAAATTAATATCATGTATATATGATTTTTTTTCAATATCTATTCGAAAAAGAGAAGCAAAAAATGGAAGCAAAGCAAAAAAAACATTGCTTGACATAAAGAATCCTTTATATTATAATCGAGGGACATTCAATAAATACACTTCAAATAAATTTCATTTCATAAATTTAGAATATTTTTAATATTAAATAATAATTGAGGGAAAACAATATAAATTAATATTGCGTACAATTTGCTCAATAAATGGTGATGACAAACAATAGTGAGAAATTAAACATATAAATTTTAAAAAGAATTTAGTTTTATGTATATTGTTTTATATACATCTATATTCTTTTTTGGTCTTTGTAACATTTAATTTTGCAAATTAAGTACTAAGACATTTACCTTGTCCTGATTTTTCTTCAATATGAATCCTATTTTTTCCAATGTTTAGACCGATATTCATAGTTAGTCCTTATATTTAAGATAGTTTTAAGTTGTCATATAAGTCAGTCATAGAACTGTATTTACATCTTAATTGAGATATTACTTAAGATGTTCTTAAAATAAGAACGGACTATAAATAAAACGGCTTTAGACTTTAATCTTCCAATTAGATCAATTTTTTTCTTACTTTTAATTAATTATTAATTTTATACAAATAGTGCCATTAATTAGAAACTTACATTAAAATATGATTCTAATATCAGAATAAGTTTTATAAAATAAGCTCACATATAAATATTTGATGCCAATCTACTAATTGCATGCGTTTACTCAGTAATAGATATCAAGAATTAATGCTCATATAATTTCGCTGATATAATTTCACATACAAGTACATGTAACAATGATTTGTATAATTGCTCGCGAATAAACAAAACACGAGGGTTGATGTGAATTCCTCATACGCGTACTTACGGCTAAATTGAATTCAACGAAATTATATTGATCCTTGCTAGAGACTCACGGCGGATCATTTTGTTTGGTGATCACACTTAGAGCGCGGGAAACCCCCGGAAGCACACCCGCGATCACACGGCGGATTCAAAAGCTTTCCCGAGAGAAAAATAAAAAGCTCAACTGATAACCGATTTATTTATCGAATCACGAGTCTGCACCTTCGTCGAGTAGTGCATTACCTGTCGCACTAGCAAATCCATGCTTGGGGAACAAAGATCGCGGGGATGGGTGGTGGTGCGGGAGACGACGCTTCGGACACCGTTTGAAGTGAAAGAAGAGCACTGGACTGAATGCTGAAATATGGTGACGTTTCGGCGCGCATACTGGTGCTTATATAGAGAGCTCTCTCTCTCTCTCCCTTTCTCGATACTCCGCTTCCACGGAGAAGATCCGTTTCCTGTCGCCGCCGCCGCCACCACCATCGGAGGAGCGAGTCAAGGGATTCGCTCGAGCGGTGCAGCGTAGGCAGTATAAGAGACGGCGGCCGCATATACTCCAGTTCACATAGGGAGGCCGCGTTTGTGTGGAAAGCCCGCGCTTTATTCCCCATTGTTCTCTCAGCTGGCTCGCGCGATTTCGGGCCTCAGGAGCAAGCGAGCGAGCATGGACGAACAGAGCAGAGTGGATCCGATTTGAACCGCGTCTACGCCGCGGAGAAAGCTGATTACTTCATCGCGTGGGACAGCCTGCAGTGCGGTACACCGCTGCTCGCCTTCGAGCGGACTAATTAGGCAATTGAGTCATAATTAAATCGCAGGACCAACGGACACGTACACGGGAGTCCACGAGTGGGTCCACGGGAACGAGCTCGTTAGTTGCCGAGAGATATACAGGACTCCTGTTAAAAGGACGCTGAAGGGAGAGTGCATAGAAAACGCGTAGGAGGATGTTGAGCTGTATAATAATATATAGTTATACTAATTAGTATCATTATTAGAATATATTGTAAAGATAATCTAAAGTCAATATTTATAATAAATAATTGTTTCATTGAGAACTGAAAAGAATTGAATTGATGGATTCAAATTTTTAATTGATTCGTTTAAATAGAATTTATTTTATGAGTCATTTAGGCTAATATTTCGCCATGTTTAAGAAATCATTCTCCACAATTTATAAAAAATAGTCTTTGATACTTTTATAAAAATTAAGTTAATTTTCAATTAATAATTCAAATAATTATTCATTCATCAAATAAAAATGACAAATTTTAAACATAGATGGAAAGAATGATTTTGCTGAAGTATTTAAAAATTTATTAGGTGTTGGAATTAATTCGTAGCGTTTTTTAATGAAAGAATGTTATTTATTTCACATGAGCATTAAAAAATACATTAATGAAAGTACTTCCCATCACTTGTAAAACGCTACGAATTAATTCCAACACCTAATAGATAAATGCAGATCTGAAAATATAATTTTGGGTGATTATCAAAATAATTAAATTTCACTCAAGCTTTTGATTATATTAGATAGATTATATTAGATCATACTAGAATGTCAAAATATTTTGCAGTATTATCATGTTCGAACATTCTACATAATTTATTTTGATAGTCCATTATTTTTAGATCTGTATCTAAATAAATTTTTATTTAAAGATACTTCAGCAAAGTCATTCTTTCCTTACATTAATATCCATAAATTAAAATCGGTGCTTTTTCAATCGTAAGATACGTACGTATATATATACTTATGCTTATTAAATCACATGAAAAAGCTAATTTTATTAGCTACTCTATCTATTGAAGCTGAAATGTCAAATATAAAGTGCTTCACGATTTGATAGAATAAAAAACTTTAACCCGTGAACAATTGTCTATTTACACGCGTCGATTTAAACCGTGTAGATATAAACGCCCCCGAATCCATCAGGATGGATTACATCGAAGAGGCACGCACAGCAGGCGGGTAACATCGCTCTCGTTTAGAAAGTTATGCAATCGAGTCTTAATTATATGGAATCCTCCAGCATGCGCGTTCGCTCCGTAAATCCTGCCTTTCGATCCTCTTTGTATAACGCGTCGTCACCGCGCACGAGGAAGGGCACTCTCTCACCTTTCATTTTTTTCTTCTTTTGTGAATACGCACGCTGATCCCGCGTGTCCTTGAAAGATCTCCGCACGTAACGCAAGCAACGGGGTGTCATCATACTCGTAATATTAATATGCCTGCACTGGTGTGCACCGACAACCGTAACGATATGCTAATGCAACGTATGTAGCTCGTTACGTCAAGCAGTTAGACCGCGTAATACCCAAACGGTGGGTTAATCCTTTCGCTTATAGCGGATCCAATTATGGACATACTTTATCTTCTCATGTAACATTAACAGAAATATATAAGAAAGATGCGTATAGAATGCTCAGTAGCAGAATTTAACGAGAAAGAGATGTAAAGAAAGAAGTAATTTATGATTTTTCTCTTTTGTGTTTAATAGAATTATAATTTTAGAAATGCTCTATATGTCGCAATCTTGAGAAATTCGTAAACGTTGACGTTGTAAAGAAAGGCTATTTTAATATGATTTATCTTATTACCATATGTTACTACCATATGACATGCTAAAAAAATTTACTTCATTCAATATTAAATAGATTGATGGAACTTTCAATTATCGAAAGAATTCAATATGAATATTGAAGAATAAGATTTTTGTAATCAAATATTGAATCTATTATTAATTTTATTAATCTTTTATAAAACAATTTTTTTTAAGTTAAAGAAATTCTTTCGTGCAATACTATATTAATTTCAAATTTCTCAGGATTATGACGTCATAGAATATTTTGAAAACTGAGATTTTATGTAATATAAAAAATTATTTAAAAAATTGATTATCATTAGAAAAATTATATCAATTTAAAAAAAAAAGACTTGATTAATTTAATATCTTCCTCGTTTTCTTGTCTTGAATTTGTTTGGTTTTATGTTTAATTTTTCATTGTAACATCTAAATTGCACTGTATATTATATTATATAGAGAGACCACCGTTGTGATTTAATGAAGGATGACAAAAACATTGCGATGTGACCACCCAGACGGATTGTCATTCTTTACATGCGATACGGTATACGGTTTCGTAGAAGTTTATTTATTTTTAATGACACATCGCTTGTCTCGAAATAACAGTTCCGTTCGTGGATTATTCCACAATTTGTCAACAAGTTGACAGTGTATTATACGGAATCACATAAGTTGGTCTTATAAGTATATTTACCGTTAATACAAGCAACATCATAAAAGTATACATATATTATATGAAAGAAGAAAGATACCCTTGGAATCTCTTCAAATAGATAAATTACATTTAGAAGCGAATTTAATCTGTTATTAATTGAAATGCTCATTAAAGTGTTTGTTCTCGAAATTTTAGAAAAATTTAATGAAATTAGTTTATGTGCATACATATAATGCAAGAAACACAATTTTTATTACAAATCATATTATATAATATTACAAATTATAATTTTATATTATTATTGAATAGATAATATAGTATATTATTAATTTTTAGATATAATAAGTACTTTTATTATGATAAATCATTATTAGGTATTACTACACAAAACTACGTATATTGTGCGTGCAATACAACAGTCATCTTCAAAGACTGCCGGAGTTGACGGGGGGTATCCGTACTGGCACTTAAGCTCAAGTGAGACTTTCCTAAGTGATGCGTTTCACGCGTTGCTTGCTTTCTACAGGAGAACCAGAGAGCCA